GATTCTATGATTCTATAAAAGTGAAGTAATAAGCTGTATCATTCCATACCAGTTTCCATACAGGCCACCACATCTTGTGCAAGAAAACATTATTCATAGACAGTGTATCAAGATAGCCTCTTGCCAAAGAAGCTTGTGCTGCAATTTTGCCAAACACTGCATTAAACAATTGCTATGCTCTAGCCTGCATCTGATTGTACCTTGAGCTTCCTGATAGAGATTGTCAGCAGCTCCCTGTTCTCACCGTCTGCGGCAGCCACGCATAGCTAACAACCTCCACTTCTTTACTTCAGACAGTGCTAAGCATTTAATTTGCAAAAAGGACCTCTGTTGATGCTCTACTCCCGTGCTTCTTGCCTGATCATACAGTTAAATTCAGTACAGTTTGTAAGAGCAAAATGAGAACTCATTGTAACAGAATAAATCTTACCACCTGAAAAAAAATTCCCATTCACTGGAAGGGTTTTCTACGTATTAGTCAATGGAGATCACTTGAACAAAAACACACTAATAATCTCAAGAGTATGATGTTAATGTATATAGGTATTTTAAAGAGTAAAAAAGACTAAAAACATCTTTGCACTGTCCTAAATTTACCTAACAATAAAAACAAAAAAGCACCCCAAAACGCAACCACTCAAACAACAAAATCTATACTTTTACATTAGGTAATTTTTAAAGTTTTGCTATTTTTCAACCCAATTCAAGACCATACGCACCCGTATTTATTTAAAAACACAGAAAGACCAATACAGGAGCAGACCCATGGCTTATCAGTCAATACCAGACAAGCCAAAAGAAAGAACAAGCAACCTCACAGTCAAAGATTAAGTGAACTACTTCTGCATAAAACAGTGTTTCTTTCCTACACATTAACTGGTTTTCTTGAATTCTGATTTATCACAGTTTTTTTATAGTATTACATTACTATGGCATTTCTCAAGACCTGGGCAAGAGTTTTAGTTGCTTGTTGCAGTTTCTATGTTAGAAATCCACAGAAAATTACTGGTGCCCAAAGCTTACTATTAATTCCTTTTGCAGACGGGTAGCTATGCGTATGTAAAAGTACTAACTTCCAGAAATTTTATCAGATAGCTCCTGTTTCAGAAACTTCCTCTTCTAGCAATTGAAGGTTCTCACCACCTCCTCAACATTTCCAGTCTTACATTTACTCCTGATCAGCATTTTTTTTTTTTAATGTAAATATTGCTTTTCTTTGTACTTGGGAGTCAGAAAGGAACAGCCATATGTGATACATAGCAGATGATTAAAACACAAAATATCTAATGATGCTGCCTCAATTATAAGGGAACAATGATTTGCCCTTTCAAAATGAAGAAACTTTCCAACAACTGCACAGTGGTCATATGAGAGAGCTGTGCAAACAGGCAGGAAGTTGAAAAGTATTCAACTGTCCGAGTTGCTATCCTGTTCATTTCCCTGGTACAATAAAACAACGTAAGAGTCAAAATAAAATACAAAAAGACCAGACGGATTTCTAATAGCAGCATTAAGGACAAATAAGCACAGTACTGCCAACTCCATAAATGAAGGACCTGCCAAAGAGCCAGATGTAGCTAGTGGAACATCTCCTACAGCTTGGCATTGCGGCACTTTATGTTCCATATGTAAATGACAAGGAAAGCATAATACTGTATATTTTATCTGGCTGGATGAATGCTTTCTTTTGATTTTTCAGTCCATCTAACTTCTCCTGTGAAGGAGTAAGTAGATGCAAAGAATTGATACACTCAAATTCAAGGCTCAAAAACCTACTTACATTAGCACATTTTCTTTCATTATACAATCATTCATTTCCATAACGTAGTTAGCTTAAGATTTTTGTCTTTTAGAGACATAACAGATTACCACTGTTCAGTAACTCAATTGTATCTGTAGGAATACATGCTTGTAACTTGGCTAAATTCCAACTAGAGAGGTGCTGCTCTGGTTTCAAAGGCCATCTAGCGTCAAGGAGCAGCTTTCCTCTTCCTACCTAAACTAACACAATGTAGCTAAAGACTTTAATTAAGGAAACAAAAAAAAAAATTTTCCATCAAATATTTCCTAGTATTATGCAAATGTAAAACTATAATTTACTGTCTTCAGAAAGCTATCCAACAGTATCGTAAGCATTTAGTTTTACAGATTTGTGCAAGTCACCAGTTTACTAAATACTCAGTGGTCAAATAAATGCCAAGGATAAACAAAAAAACTAGTTACACTGCAGAAGACAAATGTATGTTACTGAGTTTAAGAAATATTTACAAACTCGTAAGAACTCAAATCTAAGATTTGAACTTTGAATTTAAGTTTGACGTACTGTACACAATTTCGCAATGAACAGTGCCACAGCCAAACTGCACAGCTGCAGTAATGCTGCTGGTACTGAAATATACTCAAAGCTCTCGCTTCACTGATGGCAGTGTTAAGCAGCTGATAACATTACTCCTAGACATTTTGCTCTAGTATTCAGGAAATGGTTTGGATCAGACATGCATTAGGGTTGAAGAGCTATGATAAAAATGTCCTATGTAAATGTCCTATCATTTTCAATATGGCTCATTTATTTCTTCTGAAGTTTTCCCTATCTTCAGCTTATCCTGGAGCAAAGCCACAATACTTGATGTGGCAGCAAAATACTACCGCAAGACACAATCGTGATCTTACTACAGACAAACACTGTCAGTTGGTAAGTAAAACCTAATTCAGACACTCTTAATGATGAATACAAAATGTGAATATTGAAGAAATGTTAGTCTGTATACATTCTTGGCCTGAAATGAAATTTCTTCTAAGTGTTTTGGATTTAAAAAGGAATATAAGTATTTTTTATGTTGTACTGGTCATCTCATAAAAGATTACTTTTACTGGCTTTTCAGCAATTGGCTGAACAATTACAGAAGCTACAGAAGCATCAATACCTTCATTATAGCCCCTTCTGATCTTTTTCAAGCAAATCTGAAATTCAGTCCTTGCTCACAAGTGAATGGTGAGAAAAATTAACGAAATACATGAATTTATTTAGATCAGTGGAGAAGAACCAAGAGATAATATAGAAAGCAAAAAAATTGCCATTATTTTTCCCTTTTGTTTCTTTATAATTCAAAAGGGAGGAAAAAAAAAATCAAAGGGCTTACAGTTTCAATAAAGGAAATATTCTTTATTAATTTCCTTAAAATGTAGACAAAAAAATAGAGACAGTATCAAAAAAATGTGATATACTATTTCCTTTTCTCATCTTAATTCATGCAGATTGAGTTCTATAGTTCTCAAACTACTGAACTTACAAACTTAAAAAAAACACCTTCTGAACAGTTGAGCTTATAGAGTAATCTCATGAAGTCTGAAGATAAATAATTGAAATACCAATTTTTCTTAAGCTGTTACAATTATTTCATATAAATTAACTTTTGGGGTATATTATTTATAAACTACAGATTACAAGTACACAAAATAAATGCTATTTATAAGGAGTGTTTTTTTCTTCTCTCATTTTGTATCTCCTGCTGTTTAATAAGTATGCCACAAAATTACATCTATTTTTAAATAGTCTTAAAAACTCATAAAAATCCAGTTAAAATACTTATGTCTTCATACATCTCAGAGGTGTACACATGCATTCAGTGTGCATGTAAACAAATAAATGTATGTCCACTCCACTGAGAAAACACAAATCGAATCAAGACTGAGAAATAAATTCAAAACCTAATGCTACCATACATTAATAAGTTCCAATATGTCTGAAATTTCTTATTTTACTAATTTCTGGTTAGTTAGCCATAATGTAGCATTCATGAAAATTCTTACTTTAAGAAGGCAAACACTACCTGTGTATAACAGTGATCTAAAGTACACATTTATTATGAATTAACAGGTAGCATTGACAGAGCAAGATACACAACGAAGAATCCACATCTGCATAATTAACAGCAGCCACGTACAAATTTTTCCCCTTGTTCTTCATTTGTCTGAACAAAATAGAGAAATATCGGCATCTGATTTTTTTTTGGCAACTAATACATGCTTTTTATTAACATATTCTGATGCTGACTTAAGATGATTCCCACAATTTATACAAACTCTAGTAATACTGTAAGTGCCATTTTAACACAAATGATCTGCTATTTGTACCAAGACTACAAGCTCCTGAATAGCGTGCAGAGTAACTCTCCTAGTTTTCAATTTTAACATGTGTGCACAATTAATGTAAGCAGCCAAAGATAAACAACACACACAACAGAATATTATGTTTCATTATGGTGATTTTTGCCATGGAATTTAAATAGAAGTGTAATGAGTGCAATGTTTCACATTCAAATTATAAAGCAAGAGGGTACTATTGTAATAATCTGTAACAATTTCCATTACGGTTTGGGGAAGCCCTATAATCTAATGCCCATCTCAGCCACAAGAGTGGTTTTTTTCAACCTCTTGATTTCCAAACCTCAAAGTTTCCTACAAGCACTCTCAATTTCTCCATGGTTAATTTTAGCTCACTGACAGCCATCTCACTCTTCTTATTTATTATACGTACCTCATTTTTTGCACGACTTTGACCAGTTTGTCCATTACACTGGAAAGTCCGTTAAAGTTTTATTTCACCACAGAACCTAGCCTTTAGTAATTCTTGCGAAAGCTCAGCAAAACTTTTCTAGTTCAGCAATATCCTTGAGCTGACTGTGGTCAGCAAGAACAAACAAAATACTGCAGTAGTAGTGATATCACTAGAAAACAGGATATAATTCTACCTCTCCTGACTGAGATCCCTTTTATAGACAGAAGGATGATACTAGCTTTCTAATTTTGTTTCACAATAGAAACTCCTGCTCTACTGAGAATTCAGTGAAAGCCAATACTCCTTTCAGAAGTTGTCATCTCCTACGTGCATAATCTACATACATTTTGTTCTAGGTGTGTAATTTTACACGTTACATTATTCAAATGAGAATAAACTTAGTGGGGAGGATTGGAAAAAAAGAAGTTAACTTCTCTCCTACCTTCAAAAGCTGCTTGCCAATTGTTGGACTCATTTTTTCATCCACCATAAGAATCACTATTCCTCTGTCATCCATACCTCGGCGTCCTGCACGACCTGACATTTGAATGTATTCACCTGAGGATATCTAGGATAAAACAAGAAAAAAAAAAAACAAACATTAGAAAAATAACAAGAACATATAAAGTGCTGTTTACAATTATACAGTAAATGACCATGATGTATAAAAATTACCAAAGGAGAGTTATCTAAGACATGAACTTTTCGCAGATGGAATTCATTGATCAGTCATAATTGATCACTAAGCTACTAAGATATAAATCCATGATTATGAATAATGTATGTCAGCAGCATAAGTTAACTAATGGTCCCATAGCTACAGTGATTTCCATAACATGGTGCATGATTTTAATAAGCACAAAAAACATTTTACTAATGTCTTATGTGATGGAATTTTGCTGGGCATGGTGGAGATTATTAAAATGGAACACATCTTCAACATACTGACAATGTATCTTCACCATCTTCAAATAATGTATCATTTAATTCAAATGATTCAAATGTAACATTAAAATACTGATACCTAGCAAGAGCAGTATTTCTATGCCTACTAACCGTGAAATTGAAGACATTGTAAAGAACTGGGACATGGACAAGAGCCAGCTATAACTGGTTTCCTATGTCTTAGTAAGTCATCAAATAGGTTTTTTTGTCATCTGTGGAACTTGCATTTCCAACAACTTCCTGAGTTTCACTTTAAGTCAGATCTCAAAAACTACTTAAGGAAACTGTGCTAAATCATTTTAAAAGCAGGAGTTCCACATATCTGATACCTCAAAGGTAGCTAATTCTCGCATATATCTTAAGGACATGCAATCAGACTGAATGAATCGTCAAATTGAGCAGCCCAAACTAAGATTGAAGAGATTTTTACTTCATAATGCACATCAAGTCACTTGTCCTGCTTACCACAATTTTCCCATTTCTGAAAGATGAATCATGACACTTATTTATAAAGTTTTGCTGTGATGACTTGTACAGCCTTATTATTATTTACGTGTGAATCACATACCTAGTTTTAATGTATAAAATTTTTAAATTATTTGTTTTCCAGCTGTTTAAGAACCTGTCTCTCCCTCCACACATTTCTGTCTTTCTGTGGGCTACCCAAAATACTCTGCTATAACAGAACAATCAATACTTTCCTGAGGTAAATGATCTCTTTTCTTGGGTCTGTCAAAACTTAAATTTATTGATCATTATTATAGGATACTGAGCCCACTTATTCTCCACATTCCTCTGACACAGAAGAAAATACTTGGGTCTCACAGTTTCGGACAAGTTGTGCAGAAGTCTGAGTCTAATCCAATGTCTGCTGCTAACATGCGTTTGATGCTCTTTTGCTGTATCTATTAAAATAAATAATCCCATGTATAATCTGAGGAATCTTGCCTTCAGGAATTTGTACACGGATTATAAATGGATTAGCGAACAAAGAAGGATTTTTGAAAGAAAAAAATATTTTCTACTACATTGAAGTGGATATGTCAAGAATAGATTTAATCTTGGTAAGGTTTAAATAATGCAATTCAATTATTCTACAGAACCTGTTTTTCACTTACCCATCGGAAATCTTTTCCATCAAATTTGCTGGCACTCGTAAATAGCACAGTCCTGGCTGGCATATTAATTCCCATAGCAAAAGTCTCTGTTGCAAATAACGCCTAAGTAAACAGACTAAAGTTAAGCAAGCAAAAACTAAGGCTCTTAAGCAAACGCACAAATAGTCAGAGATTGCTACACAAAACCTTTCCAGATTTTACTACTTATGTACAGTCAACACAGGAACATAGGCGCATTCAATATTTAAAAACTGGACCAAAAACATTCTTTCCCCCTTCCCCTATTTCCTCTGGGAAAACATGAAAACTAGTTAGATGGGACCATGTGAAAGACTCCAAAAGAAAACACAAGGGGGTGCAATTTATATTAATGAAAAATCATAGTTAATTTCCACATTTCCATTGCAAAGTTTGCAAGAACAAAATAGTAGTTAGCTACCCAAAAAACCCCACAACTTTCATCTAAGGTTAGATTTTTCTGATGTATGTCCCTTAGGGTAACCAACAAACAGCTTGGTAAATGTCTACAGTCATTTCTAGGAGTAAAATATATTATAAAAAAGTTGAAGAAAATGTTAAAGTTAGATATTGTAAGTTTAAATACTTCAGAATAAAATCTGGAACACTTAAAACTAGAGCTGTAGTTGTGCACTAACCTAAGACATCTATGGCAAACTATTAAAGACTACAAACTTTTCCTTATAGAGAGAAGAGAAATAAAACCAGCTTCAAGAACTGTTTTTTCAGATAAAGATGGAGGCATTTATGCAAATATTTGCATATCTCAAGGGATGGGAGCTGCAACCAATTACACCAATTAACCTGTGCCACTGGAACAGCTACAGGCTTCCAGGGGTGCTGCATGCATTTGTAGAACTCAGTATATAGATCCACAGAACAGAGCCTTTCCCTTTGTATGTGTGTAGCTCTTTTTAAAATTGCCTAGTTACTGGTCCGCACAATGTTCAAAAAAAGTAAGTACTAAGCCTTATGCTTCCTGCATGGAACTACATTCAAAACACAAAGCATTTTTCAGTTTGGCATGTGCAATAAGTCTTTCACCTTTTTCAGTCAAGGAGCAGATCTCCACTATAATACTAACGTACATTCTGAGCTAAGACATACTTCTCGGTTTTTCAGGATTACCAACTGTGTATTCACAACACAGAAAAATCTAAGTATGGACATGAAATATTTACCTTTATAAGGCCCTCAGAGAAAAGAATTTCTATGGTTTCTTTTAAGATAGGAAGCAGACCGCCATGATGGATACCAATTCCTCGTTTCAGAAGAGGAAGTACATGCTCAACCTGGGAAGAAACATATAAAGAATAGTAAACAAATTTTAATATTTCTTAGTAAAAAATAAAACCTGTATGGAAAACCTTAGTGTTCATATAATTCACTATTCCCTGATTTTAAATACAATAAACACCCCTTCAGTATTATTTTCCAGTTAGAACTAGGAATGATATGAAGGGTAAAGCCAGAGGCCAATCTTTTCGGTAAACTAGTCTTAAATTGGGTTAGGCCAACTGTGAAGCTATGCCCTAATTTACACATGCAGTTAGTATTTAAATCTGCCTCTATGAAAACAAATTGCCTCATTTAAAATAATTTTTTGAAATAGTGACCCTGGTATGCATAAGATATTTTGCTTCAATTTTAGTTGCAATGATTTCACTTACTGATATGTGCTGTAAAACAGTGAAGTCAGCACCTATGAGAGCCGCACAAGGAAATTCAGGCTGTAAATAACTGAATTCATCTATTAAATACTAAAAACATTATACTTCAAACAAACACCTACATAAACTTAGCTTTGTCTCTGTTTTTTTTCTTTGAAAACAAAGATTCTCATTAATAATCTATTAACACGTGGTTACCACCCCAAACCTAATTCTGAGAATATGTTTTTGAGATACCACTGTCCATAGAGACCAAAACAAATTACTTGGGTATAATGCCACTGTTGTAAGCTTACAAAAAACCCCAGCACATAACACCTTTTATATTGGATTCCTATTTTCCGTTTTTCTCAAGTTCACAAACAAAACAGGTATGTGGAATCCGAAGCAAGTAGGCATGGCCAAAAATTAAATGGTTGTTTTTTTCAAGGAGAAATTGCCATGCTCACAATAAAAACCACTACATTAAGAAATTATGAACACAAATAAATAAAGGAAAGATGGGGGTAGAAAGAAATTATAGGTTTAGTATTTGTTACAAAAGTATGGAATCCTGTAATATTCTGTCCATTTACAAGCTTGTATTTTACCACTATAAAGACTGTCACTACGCTTATTCATTATACAATAAATTAGAATGCAGATGCATCAATTCAACTTTTTGAAAGACTCAGCAGTCAATACCTGATAAAGTGTGTCGTGGTTTAACTTGGCAGGCAGCCAAATACCATGCAGCCACTCACTCACTCCCCTCCCCCCCCAGTGGGACGGGGAGAGAATCGGAAGGGTAAGAGTGAGAAAAACTCTTAAGTTGAGATAAAGACAGTTTAATAAAATGAAAAAGGGAGAATAATAATGATAATGATAAAATATACAAAATAAGTAATGCACAATGCAATTGCTCACCACCCCCGCTGACCGATAACCAGGTAGCGATCGGTACTTCCTGGATCACGCCTACCATTCATATACTGAGCATAACTTCACATGGTATGGAATACCCCATTAGCCAGCTGGGCTGGCTGTCCTGATTATGTTCCCTCCCACCTTGTGTACCTAGCTCAGTCAGTAGGCATGGGAGCTGTCCTTGGACTAGGAGGGTACTTAGCAACAACTGAAAACATCAGTGTGTTATCAACATTCTCCTCACACTAAATCCAAAACACAGCACTAGCAAGAAATTTAACCCTATCCCAGCCGAAACCAGGACAAGTGCATACTGCACTCTCATTTGAGCTATTTCCAGACAATTTTAACCCAGATATATCTCTTTATAAGCCCTTATGTTTACTTAAAAACAAAATCAGAAAAAAATAAAACACAGGGTAGGAACTCCATGGTTAATTTTGGCACATGTCATTTGCTGGAATCACAACTGGAAGGAATCCTAATCACTGAGTCCTATTTCACAATGCCAAGGAGCAATGCAAGAGGTATTAAAACCTGGAGAGACGAGAGAATATCCAGTTTATGGTTTCTGTACCCACTACAAAAGACCCACAGCCTCAAAAGTTGCAGAAAACCACCGCAGCAGCTACCCCTATTCAATCTCCACTCACCTGAGGAAGCTTTTTGTCTTCATCTGACAGACAATCAATTGCATTATTGAACACTTCTTCAACCATCTTTTTTTCTTCATCTAAGAAGGCAATTTGTAAGTTATTACAAAATCTAGAAGGCTAATATCGTATGTAAATAAAGTGTTACCACATCCTAATATTTACAGAAGTTTACAATAAAAACAGTGTGGAAGACTGTGAAGTCTATACAAAACCACCCACATCGGGTCAGACAATCAAGACTTGAATGTGAGCCTGAAGGGGCCTAACAGTAACCAGAAGTAGATGCTCAGGGAAAAGGAAAACAGAACAAACCTGGCAGAATAATCCAAACTTCGGCTATTTCCAAGCTTGGGATTTCTCAGTTTTATGTACTTTCCGTCTATTTCACAAACCTCCCCGTTTCTCTTCTACCTACTAGTCCCTGTCTGTATGGACATAGAGGCTCCTCCTCTTACCCATTAATTCTCAACGTTTACACCCTTTCTACTTAAGTAGTACAAATATCAAGAATATATATTCAAAGGTACGACTGAAGAAAACATATAAAAATGCATCTCTGCACTTGTGCATATCTTTACATTTTCTGATAGAAACGGCTGCATTATTTTGCAACACTGAACCAGAACATGCAAGGATTGGAGCAATTAACCAAGCAAGAACCCTGAACGGTTCACAAACATGAAATTCCTTATTTTTATAACAACTCTTGACATTTCCGAGAAGCGACGAACTTGAACTTATTTTCCAAGCTTGGTCTTAATCCAAAATCAAATAATCTTCTTTGTTTACCTTTTGGGTTTTTCTTTAAGGAGAAGGGGGAGGAAGGAAAGAAAAAAAACGGGGTGGAAGAGTTGAGAAAGAACACTCTAGTGGTTTGTTATACAGTTCTTTTGAGAGAATACTCATTTTTCTGATGGACATAAGACGAAAATTTCGGGAAATACATTTGTTATGATCAGTCTTCTCCCATTATAGCTAGGATTTTTTAGGAACTCTTGTGCTATTATTACAGTGAACAGGATTTTGGAGAAAGAAATAAAGTTTAAAGTAGAGGAACAGTTCAACATTGTGATAACCAAGTATGCTTTGTGCACCAACAGTTTCTTACTGAAAATAGCCTGATGTACTGGCATATGTACATGTAAATGAAAAAGCAATACATATTTTTCCTTTGTTTTTACACAAAAAGTCCCAAAGGAAATAGAAATATCTAACCAGAGTAACATTTCACATCAAACTACAAATTGTGAATAAAACTGTATTTTATTTATCTGTACCTGTATTGAAATCTAACTTTGTCATCTGAAGTGCATAGGCTTCGCAGTCTTTCTTACTGAAACTGAAAATAATCACAGGTTGGAAATTCCTTTCCATGATCATCTTCACAATCTTAAAAACATTTGAAGGACCTGCAGAGAGATTACATTAATTTAAACGTAATTTCAGCAAAAAAGTACCTCATGGAATAATTGAGACACAAGCATAACTTGCACACAACTTTGTTGTATTATACAATAAGTTTCTTTAGAATGGTATTCAAACTCACCTTTTGTTCCTCCTTTCCTGCCTTTCTGGTCCCCTTTTGCTAAGTCTCCTGCATCTCTAAGCACTTGCATCGCCGTATTAAAATTATCTTCTCTGAAATCTCCCTAGATATAAAACACAACCTTTGTAAGCAATTACTTCTTACATAACTCACTTAAAAATACTTAGTGCTTTGCGTAGCCAGTACCATTACCCCACATTTACAGGCAAAAGGACAAAAACAATGCATAAGCTAGCAAGTACGTTTACTAGGTCAGTGGCACAGCTCAGAATTACATTGGTGCCTCTGAAGTTATTGCTCGTTGTTCTATCCATCACACCATCAACCATGCTAGACCTGCTGAATGACACAATACCAAAACTGACTTTTAGGAATGTCTACATGAAATTACACTGCCCAACGAAGACCTAGCTTCAAGCGCAGTACTACTGTTTATGGGCATAGCTATTGCTGTGCAAGCTTATGATGAATTTTAAACAAGTCGTTACTTCAAAATCACCTAAAGTCACAAAAATATTTTGCCCCTGCAACCGAAGTAAAATTTAAATGCTACTACGTTTTCTTTTGAGTGAGAAACAGTATAAGAAACATCAGATACTTTGCAGATTTACAGAAAGCAGCATGTACTTTAGAAAACAAAGCAAGGATGAAGGCACTTAATCTCAGCAAAGTATTACTCAGCTGACTACACGACATTAGATAATAAAACCAATCTCTTCCATAAGACTCAAAAAATCTAACAGCAATTTAGAGATCACTGTTACCCATTTGTACTTCATTTTAACACAAACATCCTTTGTATAGCCAATCCAAATTTTGCAAGAGATCAAGCTCGTGACTGATATGCGAGGAAAAAGATCTTTCAAACAAACTGAATATTCCTTACATTTTCATCAACAACCAGATGGAGTCCATCTCCTCCTGCTGGGAATATATAATGTTGCAGTGGAGTGGGTCGATAGTCAGTGTAAATCACATGGCAAGGCTATAAAGAAAGAACAGCATACACACAAACATTTAATATTTCCAATTGCATTGTAAAAACTCTTGCTTGATGGAAAATCCAATACATTACTATTAAAATACCCCTTTCCAAAAAAGCCAGAAAGTAAGACTCAGAGAAACTAAGATGATAAATTTTCTTTCCAGAATACGGATCTTGTACTAATGACGTTGCTTAAGAAAATGAAGGTTTGCAAATCCTTTAGAAGAACACAAATTGGCTACAAAAATTCTTTCTCATGAACACAAAAAGCAAGGACAGGTAATATTTCCTTCTGTATTATTACGCAGACTCAAAATCCTAACACCTTTTAAAGCCAAAGAAAAAACTGTTGATTTCTATTTTGTAAAAAAGCCTGCAGTATTTCTTACACCACCTAAAAAAGGCACACAATAGACTTTAAAAAACATTTAAGGTTTTAATGCATGGAGAAAGCCTGTTTAGAAAAAAAATAAACAAAATACTTCCTTTGAAATATTAAATACTACGTAAATCTGATTTAAAAAAAACCCCACAGTCTAGTGTTCTGCAAAACAAAGTCAAGGTTTGTGCCAAGCTTAAACAGACATCTCTTATACTATGCTCCTTTCTTCACAAACAACATAAGAATCAATCTCTGGGGTATTTTTAAAATTGAACCAACTTCTTGTGGATATTACCTTCCCTAACTCTAATTCCCATATTCTTTGCTGTAAAAGCATCTCTTAAAAAAACAGAGTAAAATAAACCTAATAGTTACAGGACAGGATAGATTTCTTACATTCCTCTTTTCTCACTTTGTTTGCATGCATATATAATATTTCCTATGGATTTATGACTTTTGATTTCCACATGGCCTTTTTACAAAGCTCTTCAAACAAATTCTCCAAATAACCTTGTCTATCAGCCCTCTGAAAATCATAGTACATTCATCATGTTTCATAATTCAGAATGTTTGTTGAAATCAAGCTGGTGTCTAAATAAATGTAGAAAATAAACATTAAAGAAACAGCTGTAATGTTGCTATGTAGAACCAACAACCACTATAGCTGCAAGAGCTAGGAGTACAACCAGAGAAGCCAGGAGTGATCTACACCCTCATTTATGAGCAGTAAGAATATGACTAAAAAGACGCTCAAAGGCTCAGTTCTCGTCAACCAAAGAGACAGTATTACGTCACAAGACAACAAGGATGGAAGTACAGCACATCAGAAACATTACCTGTTTGTGAAGATGGCAGATCCATTCAGCAAACTGACGGGCATTTGGAATAGTTGCAGAAAGGAACACATAATGAACATTGTCAGGGAGCAAAATAATTGTCTCTTCCCAAACCACACCACGTTCTGAAAATGGAAAAGTCACATGGGAAATGTACGTGGTTAACGCCTATTTTTCAGCTGTGAAGCCAAAGAACAGCATAAAGACAAAATAAAACAAAAACCTAAAAAAAGTCTCCCCTACACAGATGGGGTATAGCAAATGCCCTCAAAGTGGCTTTTGCCTTGGCAAAGAAAATGCAGACTGCAACACACCGTAACTATCTCATATACAGTAGAAAAAAAATTCGGAGTGATTTAGGCACAAAGATGACTGATTTTAAGAAAAAGAATAAAGATTTAGTTCTTCAAAAGAAAAAAAATTTGTTCTTGAGGAAAAGATTTTTGAAAAGAAAAATTGTACATATAGGATACCTGAATCTCTCATGTAGTGAATTTCATCAAAAATAACCCATGCAACTTCTCGCATAACCTCAGAACCTCTGTAGAGCATACTTCTCAAAATCTAGAAAAGAAAAAAAAAAATTGAGATCCATCACGTGAAATAACAACAGTCACATGTTACAGAGATGTCAGTAAGAAATTGCCAGAATTTTTGGTTCACATTTACATGGCAATATGAAATCTTATTTTGCACAAAACTTAAAAGCACTTAAAGATTGGCTGTGACATGCTTTCCAAGTTGATTCCAATCTAACAAATCTCATGATATGAGACAAACTGGTTTCGCTGCAAGAACAGTGAAGGAAGATGAAAGAAAAAACATTATTTTCCTCCCAGCCTCTACTTGGTAGGTCTACAGATCTACTTCTGCCAAGCTTTCTTTTTCCCTCATCCTAATAGATAACCTCTCCGTGATTAAGAGGAAATCTTTCATTAGAAATCAAGTCATCCTGTCTCTCCACCCCAATCTATTCTCCGTAAGACTCTTTACTCCTTTGAGGTAAAGACAGAAAGAAGAAAATTCCAACTCAGAGCTGGACAGATTTGTACAACAGAAATGTGACAAAACGGTGCCAACAGTACTTTGTTACCAAAGGTGAAAAGCTGTACATTCCTGGAGTACAAGCATCTAGTGTGAACCACTCAACTATCAGCCAATGATCTTCCTCTCCCCATTTTGTTTCCTTAGAACAAAATACTGACCCTACAGGATTCAGTAAGTCTGACTGACTTGCAGTACTTCACATTTATCTAAAGAAAACTCAGGTGTCTTGAGCATTCAGGAAATTAAGTTCTGCCTTTCTCCATGCGAGAATGAACGTTCCTGACTGACAGTCCAAAAGCATAAATTTACAGAGATTTACCTAACTTTTTCAATAACCAGAAGTTAAAACATTAAGGGACACGTAATTAACTTTATAACATTTTCTACCCTAATTGGGCTTACTATGTGATAACTTTAATCTTTTAATATCAGACCTTCTCAGTTAAAAAAGGGTAGAAGAAAACACAGATAGATCAAGAATTAATATCTGATCTTACCTCGGTTGTCATTACCAGACAAGAGGCTGTAGGATTAATGGTGACATCCCCAGTCATCAAACCAACATCCTGAAATTCTTCATACATCTCACGGTACTTCTGATTACTCAAAGCTTTAATTGGACTTGTAAATATCACACGCTGTTTCTCTCTCAAAGCCAGGGCAATTGCATACCTGTATTCAAACATTGTACACATTAAAGTCATCAGGAAGACATTCAGAGCATATTACTTTCCTCCAATCTTCTGCTTAAAAAAATGAAATAAAATGTGCAATTCAGAACATCAGTAGAATGATACGAAGCATTTCATTATTAAGTTCTGTGCAATCTTAACTCAACTATGTATGCCTCTTTGGAGAGCAACAAATCATTGACAACGAGTTAATGGATTTTTATGGACATCAGAGCACACCTAGTTGAATCTAAAAACCTAATTGTCACTGTCTCAAGACAAACTATTATTATTTGAGCCGATGCTCTAATATATCTACATGTACATCTCACTTCTCACCTCAGGTCAGCAAAGACACTCCACTGTCAGACCAAACACTGACAAAAAACGTACACTATCTTTTGAACATTTCTTGACCGATAAACACCAAGGTTGCAAATTAAATCAAACCAGTGCTTCTGACAAAGCAGAGAAAACACACAAGAAACTCCTTATTAGTTATAGTCAGGGGCTAGAAAACAAAGGTATTTTTTTCCAAATTCATGCAAATCTGTATTGCAGAAACTCTCCTTTCAATCTAGACAATAACACTTCAACAAAACCAGATAGTTTAAAAATAAAAGGTAAGCTTAAACATGAATTAAGCCTTTCACTACCCACTAAACAAGAGGAAAGAAGTAATTTTTACACTCAAGAGTAGTCAATTCAATTCTAACACTCATGGTCCAAACTTTGTATGAAGAAACTGAGACACAACAGCTACCGATGGACCAACAAAATGCATGACAAACATTACACCATTCTCTTACTAAAGCCTGTCAGAAAATTACTTACTCTGCACAAACAGTTTTACCAGCTGATGTATGAGCCGACACTAACACAGACTGGTTATTATCTACACAAAGAATAGCTTCTCTCTGAAAGGCATCAAGAATAAATGGATATTCCTAAAAAGAAAGGAAGCAAAAACATTACATATTTTTAACACAGACTGTTACTTATATCTGATTAATTTTGTGACTGATCTAGTGTGCAAATTATAGGCAGAAATGAAATCCCTGTTGATATTTGTAACTTAACTGATCTTAATCCAGTATTTTGCAATGACTTTGTATTTAAATAATTTTATCTAATACAACACCTAAGATCTTTGCTTATGTCTTGTCATATCAAATGAAAATCTTGCCCTGATGACTGATTTTCCTCTAATTTAGGAAGAGAAACTACAGTGTACAACTGAAGCCATCACCTGATATTGCAGAATAGAATTGAAATCACAACAGCCTATCCACCCCATTCCACCACATCATTTTACTCTACCAAATTTAAAATATAGAGACACTAATCTTACTTAGGACAGGCCATCTTTTCAAGATACTCTTTTCCAAACCTTACTGACAAAGTACCTAATTTTTCCCTCTACCCTCATCTAGTGTCTTTAGCATGCAAAAAGAAAAGTATATGCAATCTATCACATACTTTTGCAGCTTTTCCAGTTCTTGGCTTCAGACCTGTGAAGTCTTCATCTGCTGGAAGTGCAACCTATAAAACACATTTTAAATAAAAACAGTTGTAGAATTCTCGGTGTCCACTCCAGTGACATGGCAAGCTATGAAGAGCTGGGGCAGGAGATGTAAAGTGCCTGAAAACTAATTTGAATTTCTATTACCCTGTTTCTAAGAGCTCACGTGTCAAGGCTTCCTTCCTTCCCCTCAGAGTTTTTCAACCAACATCTCTATCCTCCTGCCCCAACAATGCTCCTTCTCTCACTTCTCTGATACTCCCTATTGTCTTGTGTGAAGTACTTCTGCTTCACCTACGTTGGAACATCAGCTCTTAAGGCCAAGACACAGTCATGGCTTCTGGCCAATGGATGTTAGGAGCAATTACTCAGCTCACATTGATAACACTCCCTTTCGAAGACAATGTATTTATACAGGTAAAGCTCCTGTTCCTGGCCAATATCTAACATTCATTTATACTAAATATTTAAGCTCTCTTCAGCTACTAAGTGATGGCAGACCTCTACCAGATATCTCAAGTTAACAAAGATTGTACAGATGCATGGGCTTTAAAACCTGTATCGTCAATTGTATATACAGTTCCTTCATTACAAAAGTCTAATCACACAGCGTCCTTGTATGTGACCCTAATTAACTTGAGCTATTTCTGGAAGACAGCACAGAAAAGAAAACAAGCATAAAAGTACAAGGAAGTTAAAATTTACATATTTAATTATCATAGAAACTCTGACAATCATCTTTGGATGAAAGATGATTAAAAAAAATAGATCAGCATTAATACTTCTGATTTTTCATATTTTAAATTGTACTTCTGTCTATTAAAACAATTTGAAAATGGATAGTTTTCGTTATTTTGTTTTTACATAAAAAACCTTTTTCCTTTTTTTACCAAAATGTAATTTTCAACAGTAAACAGCCTTACAAGAAAGCCTTTCATTCTTGAACAAGAATAGCAAAATCTTTCAATGCAATACTGCACACTTAAATCACACTATGAACACAGACCTATTTTAACCACCAGTGGGTTTTCCTCCTCAACAACAGTACTCTGAACGTGCTTGGTACCTTTCAAATATGGAAGTCTACCAAGATTATCATCCAGTTTTTCACAATCATTTTATTACAAGTATCATTCAAACTGCTGCTAGTAAGATACCCTCTTAATTTTTCAAGTCCCTTTTGTGCATGCTCAATGCCAGATACAGACCTCAATAGGCTTTACAAGCCTATTCCACCTTAAATAAAATAGGAAATTATATATCTGCTTGAGAGGAGAAAGGCTCTATGGAGGAATCTGGACAGGCTGGATCGATGGGCTGAGACCAACTGTATGAGGTTCAACAAGGCCAAGTGCCGGGTCCTGCACTTCGGCCACAACAACCCCATGCAACGCTACAGGCTTGGGGAAGAGTGGCTGGAAAGCTGCCCAGAGGAAAAGGACCTGGGGGTGCTGGTTGACAGCCGGCTGAACATGAGCCAGCAGTGTGCCCAGGTGGCCAAGAAGGCCAATGGCATCCTGGCCTGTATCAGAAATAGTGTGGCCAGCAGGAGGAGGGAGGTGATTGAGGCCGCACCTTGAATACTGTGTTCAGTTTTGGGCCCCTCACTACAAGAAGGACATGGAGATGCTGGAGCGTGTCCAGAGAAGGGCAACGAAGCTGATGAAGGGTCTGGAGCACAAGTCTTATGAAGAGCGGCTGAGGGAACTGGGACTGTTTAGCCTGGAGAAACGGGGGCTGAGGAGAGACCTTATCGGTCTCTACAACTACCTGAAAGGAGGCTGTGGTGAGGCGGGGGTTGGTCTCTTCTGCCAAAATAACTAGCGATAGGACGAGAGGAAACGGCCTCAAGTTGCACCAGGGGAGGTTTAGATTGGATATTAGGAATAATTTCTTCACTGAAAGGGTTGTCAAGCATTGGACCAGGCTGCCCAGGAAGTGGTTGAGTCACCATCCCTGGAGGTATTTGAAAAATGTGTAGATGAGGCACTTAGGGACATGGTTTAGTGGTGGACTTGGCAGTGTTAGGTTTACGGTTGGACTCAATGATCTTAAGGGTCTTTTCCAACCTAAATGATCCTATGATTCTATGATATAATAAATACAAGCGCAATAAACAATGTTATTATACTGGCAGTAATACATATAATTCTATAAAAAAGCCTGTACTTTTCACGCGCATTTTCACTGCACTCACCTCATGTGTACAACCTTCAACAGTTTCCACAGCTTGCACCTTTACTTGAGGCATCAGGTCTGCCAGACTAAAAACATATGAGTTAGGATTGCCAAAAAGGTATTTAAAAATCCTGTTTTATATATAAATGCAAAAATGTTGAACTTCACCTCTACTTTAACTGCAACGTTAAAAAAAGGACGCACAAACTTGAAACAGCAGAGACTACTACCAGGACTAAGAATACCTGTAAGTGTTACAATTTTGCTACTATATAAATCTACTTTAGCTACTGCTCCGGGATTTCTAACGCCTTAAAAACTTAAAAACGCACCACAAAACAGCACTTGGATCACATTTGTTCACGTGAAGTTTTCTGATGAAATAGGGACGTTTTTTCAATATATAACAAAGCGAAATTCAAGACCTGTATTCCTGCTACTATTCATGACATCGAATAACAGCAGCTTGAAGCATTCCAAGCAGCTGCCTGAAGAGAAGACCCTGTTTTCTTTACCAGTTCCTTTACCAGGCCACAAGAAGGGGCTGGTGTCTCACTGCACAAAACAAGTGGTTTTTTCTGATGGTTTTAACACACTTAGTAAGCTCCTGTGGGCAAGTATACGTTCTACTGAGACCACTAACAAAAAGACTGACTTAAAATGTTGACTCTGGTTCTGTTTTGCTTCTATACAGGTACCCTTTGTTTACAGTGTTCTGAGAAGTCTTCTCATGACTTCGTCACAGAAAATCTTACCTTTAACTTAAGAAAAACTACCAGGTAAGACCAAATGACAATCCACACCAGAATTCTGTCTGACAGAAGTCAATAACACATGACCCAGAGAACAGTATAAGAACACAGCAAGCACACTATTTTTACTTCTGTACAGTTTTCTACATCTTGAGCTAGGAGGTACACACCTGCATTTGGCAGCTCTGGATGAATTTTTATTCCATGAACCATCCTAATTATTTTCTGAACCAACATAAACTCCCAAGTTCCCAAGAATCTCCTAAGCTACATTAAGCTGAAAAAGTGCCCGCACTGTCCCTTCACTCTGTTTTCAAAAGCCCTCATAACACCTGTCATGAAGTTCTGGAAAGAAAAGAGGAAAAGACATGCAGATCCTAAAGCACAGACATGGCATTGCGGCTTCCCTTCAGCTGCCTTATCGCCCCAGCTGTTAACATGTCCAAGTATACCCCCACCATGTCAAATACCTGCCATTTGTGCTCAAATTTAAAAGCATGTCCATAGCTAAGATTCTAAATATTTGCTGCAATTATAACCTTACATGCCTCAAAAGCCTTGTTACTGCCTCCTTGGTCAAATTCTTCTTCCTGTATCCCAAGCCAATTATGTCTTTCAGTGGCATAGTACACAGCAAACCTGCCTCCTCCCACGTGCCTCACTGCTTATCTCTTGCTATATGCCTGAAATCGACACGATGGCTTTGACCAAGAACCACCAATGCATATACAGTAACCACAAATACATGAACATTTCATAGTGCAGTTGCCTGTCTGTCCTCAATATTATTTTAAACATATCCAGTGCTTGTCACTGCTGAAGCTGTACTATCAGCAGCTCACTCGTATAAAAAACAGAAAATCAACTTCATTCGCAAACTCATCTTAACATGAAAACACTGCAAAGCTACTTACATTGACTATTCACAACTGACACATAGCTAACCAGTATATCTTGTTATGATTTCCTTAAACATTAAACTAAGCACTTACTTAGCATCTTCTGATATAACATCTTCCAATTTTGGTTTCTTTCCCAAAACAGCATCTTCAGTACTATCGACCTCAACTTCCCTTTTAGGCTTCCCTGTCGCAGCTACTGAAGATTTTTCCTCCAATCGCTTTCTGCAACATGAACAGACAACAAATTTAAAGTTTGCCTCTTTTATGTATGTATTTTCAGAAAAGAAATTAGGTGTCCTACGGGCAACAGTGATCACATTGCATTCAGGGCACAACCCGGGGAACTCCACCCACGAAAACCGCAGTGGGTTTTCAAACCACTTCCTGGATGAGCTTGCCCCCAGGCCCCCGCGCTCCCCAATCGCCCACTGCGCCCGGGCTGGCTACAGCTTTGGGTTCAGGGATCCCAGGAAAGCGCGTCCCTTTAGGCTGCACCGACTCCCCGGTCCCGAGGGGGTTCAGTAGCTCAAACAAG